TACTGGGAGCAGCAGGGGTGATGGGCCCTTGCAAGCACCCTCCTTCTCCAAACCTGTGCCTAACCCTGCCTTGAAGAACTCCCTTCTCAGTCCCTGASCGGCTCCAAGCCTGGATGAGTCCAGAAAAGGTTCCACTGGAGGCTCCAGGGACTGAATTGTGGTTTGGATCATTGTGCTCAGCTCCCAGGATCATTAGAGTAACAGAGGGATTCCCCAGCAGCCTCCCAGTTCAAGGAGCGCTTCTGATGCAAACGCTCCCATGGCAAATGATTTGTAGAGCTGGGAGTTATCCCTTGGGGACCTTCTGAATCACTAAAAACTTAAGAATTGGATTCCCCTGGGCTAACTGGCACGTGGACTTAGATTCTGGCTGTGTTCAGTCGGAAAGCATCAAACCTGGGAATTTCCTATTATTCCAGAGCCACAGAGTCACACACCATCAGAGCTGAAAGGTGTGATTCAGGTAAAAACAACTCACTATGTGGATAAGGAGACCAGAACCCAGAACAGGCAAGAAGTTTGTCTGTATAGAACCCAGCTCGCTCAACTCTGCTGTTCTTTCACTATGCTAGCCACCATCACGCTCTCTCATTTTCTGGGATAAGTATTGACTTTGTACAACTTTATTCTGTTCTGTGGATTTAAAGTATGAACTACATATGATTTTGATTACTTTGTGAGACTTTTCAAATAAATAATTTGCAGATCAAATAAAGCACTCTTGCTCAAACCCGCCCAGCACGAGTTTGAAATGACCCCAAGAGTTCAGCAGACTCCACGTGCTGCTGACCCCACAGCAACCTTCTGAGCAAGGAATTCTGACCAAACTGAGCTTTGCGCCTTGTGCCTAGGCTATCCTGGCTGGCAGACAGTGGAGGCATTATAAATCCATCTGAAGACTGCCACTTGACGTCTAGTATGAGACCAGTGACCCATGAGGACTCTGTCTCATGGGATTCACTGAGCCAGTTGGAGTCCCCGCTGTAGTACAGGGGAGGGAGAGGCAGAGGAGGAGCTGAGGTTGGAGGGGAACCAGCACTGGTGGAGAAAAGGAGAAATGAAGATTTGGTGGGGTATTCTGACCAGCAAGCCAATTGATTCTAAGTCTTGATCATGTAACTAGGAAGTTTCCTAGTCTCCTTGACTAGGTGCAATAAGCATCATGAAAAGCACCCTTTCCTGTGTGGCTGGGTGACAGGCTGGTCACCTGTCCCTTCCCTGACTTACTCCCCTACTTCCTGCTCCTTTGGATTGCCTGCCAAATAAGCAAATCACATTCAGATCCTTGTTGTGGTGGTCTGCTTCTGGGAAAACGCACACTAAGATACAGTTGCAATCACGATTCAGCGTGTGATAACTAGGGCACCTAACCCAGGCTCTGGGGAGCCACAGAAGGTTTTTTGGAACAAGCAATACAAGCTGAGGCCTTAAGGATGACTTGGGGTTAACCCAGTATAGAGGAGGTTGGATGGGGAGAAGTCCACTGCTGGTGGACTCGGRAATTTTGTTACAGCAACAGAAAACAGACTAATAAACTCTATTTTTCAGACCCTAGACCAAAGAAATTGGATGAGATTGAGTTTTAGGGTGCAAGGTAGAGGGTGTTAAAAACTGAAGTTGTTGAGGAGGGTTGGGTCTTGTAAGAGAGTTTAAACTTCATCCCAATGGGAAGTCACCAAAAGATTGAGGCAGGGATGCAATACAATCTTTTTTGCATTTATTAGGCTCTCTTTCAAATATCTAAATACAGATTTGAGAGTAGTCATTAGCTCTGTGGTTGACAATCAATCTCCGGAGTATGTTGAAGTTGTCCATTATGGTAGTCAAGAGCCACTACTGAGTGCTTGAATTGGGCTGGTCCAAATCAAGCTATGCTGTTGGTGTAAAATACATACCAGATTTTGAAGGCTTAGTATGAACTTAAAACTACAAACTATTTCATTAATAACTTTTATATCGATTGATGTTGCAATGGTAATATTTAGGTGTGTTAGGCTGAGTAAAATGTATTTTTCATATTTAGTATATTATTAAAATGATTTTCATCTTTTTCTTTTCATTTTWAAAAAATGGCTGCTAGGAAATTTCAATGAAAATTTATACAGATGGCTCATATTATATTTCCATTGGAATGTGAGAGGCAGAAGTCCTGGGGAAAGATTTCTGAGAGACGTCAGTGCTTAAGAAATGATAGAGGAAGAATTGCTGCTTTTGGAATTGTTTAGTAATGAGGAACAAAACTCCTTCAGCTTAAACAAGAAGAGAAATTTATTTGGAGAATTCAGGGCTTCTTAACAGAACTCAGTGACAGATAGTGCATCCAGGGCTGATAAGGAACAGGGACTTGGAATTCAGTAAAAACCATTATAAATAGTCTTGTCATTTTTTTTTAATGTCTGGGTCCATGGAGCCTCTTTTTCTCTGTGCATCTCTGTTCTGCTCTTTTTGCTACTGTCTTTCTGTGCTCTGAGCCAGCCCAAATTTATGCTAACCTGCCTTCCCAAAGCAAGCACTAAGAGATGGATGGAACCCTCTGCTATGGTTTGGATGTGATTTCTCCCCCAAAGTTGCATGTGTTGGAAGACTGGTCCTTAGTGGTGTTTGGAGGTGATGAAACCTTTAAGAGACTGGTGGTCACTGGGGTGTTGCCTTCAGAAGGAATTAATATAGTTTTTACAGGACCCCAGTTCCCACAGAAGCTGGTTTTTATAAAAACAACAACTCTGGCCCCTGAATCTCTGGTTTTCTGTCTTATCAAGAGATCTCATCTACATGTGTTCCCACTATTGTGTTGTCATCTGCCTTGGGGTCCTTACCAGAGGCTAAATGGATTGGGCTACCTCATCTGAGACTTTCAGCTTTCAAAGCTGTGAGATAAATAGGGCTCTTTTCTTTATGAGGTATCCAGCCTTGGGAATTTTGTTACAGCAACAGGAAACAGACTAATACATTCTACTTCAGATCTCAGACCAAGAGGGAGCATGTGATCAATGAGATTTGGATCTAGAGTGCCTTCTGGTCTAGTTAGTCACAACAAGAAGTAGAAGGTCATGAAACTGTTTGACTAGCAGACCTTTGAAGAAGGAGTGGGGGCAGGACAGACAAAGTGACCAACTGACTCTCATTTATCAGAAACTTTGAAGAACATAAGAAGGAGCAGCCAGTTCATGGGAGGGAGCTGCGAACACTCAGTGAGGTGTGGATGCAGCACAGGGAGATGATGAGTGTCCCTAATGAAAGCAGTGTCAGAGAAGAAGGGGGCGGGAGCTGGAGTGTATGGGGAGGTGAATGTAGTTAGAAAGGAGATGTGGAGGAGGCAATGTATAACTTATATTGTTACAAAGTACCCAGCCTCTCCCTTATGAGGTGTGGCTTTAGAGAGAAGAAAGAGACAGTGTGGCCCCTGGAAGGAGTTCTGGCTTCCAGGGAGGCTTTTGGATTTTGTTAAGATGGAAGAAGCCTGAGGCCTTTTGCTGTGATTAGAGAGAACCAGGGAATAGTGCGGCAGAAATAGCATTCTGCCATGGCTGCAATGGTCTCAGTTAAATAGGAGATAAAACTGATAGCACTGGGCCTGTGGTTGGGTCATGGATCAGGTATTGAGACACACAGGGGAGGACAGTCAAGACTGTAAGGGCCCCAGCTTCTGTTTGCAGCCACTCTGGGCTTGTTTGATCATCTGTTCCCACGTGTAAGAGGAACATGTAGAGACACACACTGTTTCCAAGCACAGGTCAGATGGGCACATACCTCAAAGCACTTGCACAATCATGCTGATACGGTCTGAATGTCCCCCAAACTCATGTTGAAACTTCATCCCTGTTGTGGTGGTATTAAGAGGCAGGACATTTTGGGAAGTGATGAAGTCATAGGAATCCTGTTATGGTTTAGATGGTAAATGTCCCCCAAGGACTCATGTGTTGAAGGCTTGGATGTAGCAAATGGCACTATTGGTAGGTGGCGGCACTATTGGTAGGTGGCGGCACTTTTAGGAGGTGGAGCCTAGTAGAAAGAAGTTGGGTCGGGGGGTGTGCCCCTGAGTCCCCTTCCTCTCTCTCTGCTTCCTGGTGTTCGTCAGGTGAGCTGTGTTCCACCACGTGTTTCCAGCTGAGATGTTCTGCCTTGGCCCCAAAGCAAGGGGGCCAAGTGACTATGGACTGAAACCTCTGAACTATGAGCCAAAATAAATTTTTCTTCCTTTTAAGCTTTCATCTCAAGTATTTGCTCATAGTGACGGAAAGCTGACAGACATAGCTCTGTTCCCAGATTTGGATTTCTGCCCTTGCATTATTCTGACACATGGGGAAGAAGCAARAAGGGCCTCACTAGACACTGAATATTGGTGCATTGATCTTGGATTTCCCAGCCTTCAGAACTGTAAACAATAAACTAATATTGTTATAAAGTACCCAGCCTCTGGCAGTCTGTCATAACAGCACAGACTAGGACATTTGCACATGTTCACATCTACCCAACTTGCATATAACCAGGTGTCCATATCTGTATGTACATTCATGCACAGATGGACAGACGTGTGTGCTCTCATATTCACATGGTACGGGTCTCCTTCCTTACCTCCATTTCTGAGCGGCATGGTTTAAATTCTTTACTGCTGTTTATTGAAATTTCCCATTGAAGAAAAGAATTGGGGACAAGAAGGAGAAACTATTAGSAGTGATTCAGGGGATCTCAGGAGAGCAAGGCTGGGACACCAGGGGAAGGCTGGGACACAGTAGAAAAAGGATAGACAGAGAATGGCAGGGAGGATGAGTGCAGGGGTGTGGCCCGAACTTGGGACTGGCCAGGGATGGGATGGGGACTCTGGTGAAGGAGGTGGTGGTGGAGATGCCTTCACTGGCTTCTCCGAGGGCTTTTTCCTGGGAGCATGGACCCATCCTGGCCCTCCCCCCAACCTCCAGGGTACCCATGGAGCCCAGAGGCAGGCAGGATCCTGGCTGGGATCAGTCTCTGGAGGACTGGGAAAGGGGGGTCCCTTGTCCTCAGCTGGGGTCCTGGCCTGATTCACAAGGCTTCAGAGGGATCCTCTGGGATGCCTTTTCTGCTTCTGGCTCCTGCTTTCTCGCCTTTCCTTTATGGCGCCTAGAGACAGAAAGTTCAGGAAAAGACTTGAGCCCTTATCTGTTTTCCCCAGGAGGAGCCCTGGTGGGGGCCAGAAGCGGAGAGCTCACCAGTTTTGCACATCTTCGATGGTCTCTGGCAGGGGCCGATTGCGAGTCTCAGGCAGGAAGAAGGCAGCACTGCCTCCCAGTATGGCCATGGTCCCGTAGATGACATTGGGGATGAAGGGCTTCACCTCACCCGTGATTTTCACCAGTGGGGCTAGCATGCTTCCCACGCGGGCCCACAGGTTATTAATGCCCATACCTGTTTGCCTGGGGGGGTTTAGAGCAGGGTTGGCAGCCTGTGTGTGGGGTTCTTAAAGGATGGCCTTGGGACACCTGGGTTGGGGGGTAGGAGGATGCTACACTCCCATCTGGCCCTGTATCCTTTGGCTGGGCCTTTCCCAAATCCAGCACCTACCGGACAACTGTGGGGTAGAGTTCACTGGTGTAGAGGAAGAGGCAGCTGAAGGAKCCAGACAGGCATCCCTTTCCAAACACAGCCAGCGCTGTCCTCAGGATCTGCATGTCTGCAGAGGGAAGAAAATGTAGAGGGCCTTGGAGTTAAGGAGGACTCAAGTATTCTTATTATTTAGCAGACTTTGCCTCCTCTTTTGCTTTGGTGGCCAGTAAGCTCAGACCCCAACYTAAAGGTAGTAGCCCCTCTGTTATTCCTAATGCTTTGCATGCTTGACACATGTCCTGCTGTGTTTGTGTTTTCCCCTGGCCCCAATTCCTATTCCCACTTAAACTTGTTCTTGTTCTAAAATACCTCAAGTTCTTTTGGAAGGATGTACATGCATCAGTAAACATAAATACAATAAAAGTGRTTTTTCCAAGTTTATACTGGGGTGTTTTTCATGGATTGACTCTCTTGTTTCCCCATTTCAAATCATTCTCTGCAGTGATGAGCCCAGGACATGCTCTGTTCCTAAGCAATTCCTCACACTATTCAGACTCTACCATATTTTGCCCAGTCCTAGTGACATCTGGAAAAGAGATTTGATATCATTTAGTCTAACTGAATTATTTTCTAGAAGAGAGACCTGACCTCAAGGCAACATGGTGAATAAGAGGCAGAGCCAACAGAGTTGGAGTCTTGGTCACCCACTTTCTAGCCTGTGGCATCTTCTTCCAGAAGGTTCTGGGGTAGCCCCAGCCTCTTACCTGAAGGCACAAAGATGAGAGCCAAGATAGCCCCTCCTGCCAGGAGCAGCATAAAGGCCTGAGTGATGTGCCGGCCCAGATAACTTATGGAGAGGATGGTGATGAACTTGGCTGGAATGTCGACCCCGCCAAAGATGATCTGGAGGATGTAGAGATTGACACCAAATTCTTCCACCCCCATAGCCAAGCTGTAGTAGGCAAAACCAGTGGAAAACCTGAGGGACAGAGAGGGATTGGTTAACATCTGCAGCCAGGCTGAGGCCTCTTCCCATTCTGATCACTGGGTCACCAGAATGGTGAAGAGTTTCATTTCTTGTACCATTTGCAACTGATGGGTGGGAGTACTTGAGGCAATTTTGAGGTTTCTGAGATTGCGTCTACATTCAGTGCAAACGTGCTGGGATTGATTGGCATGTCTGACATGGGCATGATTGAGGGTGTCATGGCACAGGTGCCCTTATTATTCTCTAGAGAATAATGGGACTGGAGGGACTGTCAGAGACCAAAGGAGGCAATAAATAATCTTTCTTGGTAGGAAGCAGTTGAACATCTGGATTGAGGAGGTAAAAGTCGAGCTGTGCACAGGGTCAAGTGCTTCTCCTTCCCCTCTTGGAACTGTGGAATCCTTTCTGTAGGGTGCTGGACAAGTTCATTACTATTCATATGGAGATGGTCAGGATGGAGAGTGGTCTCACCACCAGGTCACAGAAAGGGTTTTGAGGAAGTTGTAAATGTCAGACAGAAGAGAAAACTTGGGAGACACATAATTTCTGTCTGCAAGTCTGAAGTCCAGAGGGCCAGCCTTGCTCTGTGGGGTTCCAGAGGGCAGAGCTGGGCCAGAGGGTGGCAATGCCAGAGTCAGTCTTGGGGAAACAGCCATTGCTGGGATGTACTAGTGCATTTACCCTGGGGGTGGAGGCCGTTTGTATGACCTTAGAGGGAAGCACACCCTGTTGGTTGAATGTGGCTGTGGGGCAGGGATGCAGCAGATATCTGGGACTGAGTCTGGACTGTGGTGCTCAGGGGAGGTACCCCCTTGACCTCTTTTGCAGATGCCCTAGGTATTGCCCTTATGTGAGACTACTGGAGGCCTATTCATCACCCCTTCCTTGGCAAGTATGGGAGAGAGCGATGGTACGTTACCAGGCCAGGGAAAGACAGAGGGTCATATGGCGCAGGATGGGTATCCGAAACAGGTCAGTTATGCCATACTTGATCTTGGCCAAGGAGATGTCCTTCTGCAGGTTGAACTTCAGCTCCTTGGGACAGAGGAGAGGCAGGGGTGCTATTAGTGGACTAGCTGGTGGGCAGAAGAAAGGAAGGGAGAGAGGCACAAACCTGGTCCCACTAGAAGAATTAATTTAGGGGATAAGATGGGATGTGGGCTGTGACCGTAGGAAACAGAAGTGAGTGGAGGGCAGCCCTAGAGCAGAGCACAGGGTCCTGCCCCTGACTAAAATCTCTCTCTGCCCCTACCTCCAAGCTGAGCTTTTCCCCCTCCTCCTTCTTGCCATTGAAGGCAGCCACGTGTTGGAGTGTCTTCAGGGCCTTGGAGAACTTTCCATTTAGGACCATCCAGCGTATAGACTCTGGTATCCACCTGGGGGCCAGAGTCAAGTCACAGTTGCTCCTCCCACTCCAGAGTGAGAGGCTGGAAGAACATCAGCAGCCAGGGCCAAAGGGTAGGAAGTCTAGAAACCTGAGCTGCCTGATGGCAAATTCCATGGAATTTAAACTTGGCCCAACTTTGCACCTGGGCTGCTTGTAGCCAGCACAAATTCCAGTATTCTCTTCTTTCCCTTCTGGAAGAGACTTTCCTCTGCCYCCCACCTGAGTGTCTTGTTGTTGTTGGGTGTCTTCCTTGGCTGAGAGCCCCAGGCCCTAGGCTAGGGCAGGTGGAGCCTGGGGAGGGGATGGCATGTTCAAGGCTGGACACATGGAGGGTCCTGCACGTGCACCTCTCCAGCTTTCCTTGGGCTGAATTTTCTATCTCTTTATTGCAGAAAGGTCAGGGTTGCAGTCTCGGGGAAGCTTGGGAAGGAGATTTTAGGCCAAGGTGAGGGCTGTGGCCTAGGGAATGGGCTGGAGGATTCTTTGTCTCTGCAAAGGACCAACAATATGTGTGTGTGTGTGTGTGTGTATAGTGTGCAGGGTGTGTGTGTGTGTGCTACTCAACTGTGTCCCAGTCCGGGCTTTTGGGGTTGACTTATGCTGAACAGTCACCTGAGGGACTAGGTGAAGAGAAATGGAGGACAAGGTAAGAGGAGAAAGGAGTGGTGTTTGGAAAAGGCTGGTCCAAAGTAGGGTGAGCTCCAGCTGTGACCTCCAAAGGTTCTCAGAGCCTAGCTCTGGTGAGGTCCTTGGAAATTGATATTGGTCTCCTGGTTTCAGCTGATGGTGGTGGCTTCCTGGGCCTATTGCTATCTACCTTCATGGTCTTGTGGTTTTGGTTTCTGCTCTGGCAATCTTCTGAGTCTGCTGTCCCCAAGGTTATCAAGAACCCACAGGCCATGGGCAGGACCTGAACTCTTCTTCTCTCCCTGAGAATAATGGTGGCAATGGCTTCCAATTAGTGAGGCTTCCTGTGGACCAGAATCACAAAACTCTGGCTAACAGTATTCCTATTTTATCTAAGAAATTTTGAGGTTCAGAGTAGGAAAACTTGCCCCAAGTCACACAGTGAAGTGGCTTGAGCCCTTGACTGTTCTCTGCTGACACCTGCTCCTATTTTCTCTCCTAACCTTGACTACTCCTACTCTGTTCCCATCTGAGGTTGTGGATGTGCCTCTGGGCTCCTCCCTGGGCCCTCTGACCATCTCTCTTGCTCTGTCATCCCCAGATYTCAACCCTCGAAGGGCTACATTTATTTCCAAGTTGAGATTCTATCTCAATTCTTCACCTTTCCAAGTAACCTTGGGAGATGCCATGAAAAACAGAGACAATGTGGGCTGATGTCTATGGTGAATAGGGCCTTATATGTGATAAATGTTCAATAAAAAAAACTGCTGCAAGATTTCATAACTTTTCCTGGGCTCATTTGTGATTTTCAGTACGTTGGCTTCAACAGTGAGCTATAGAGACTCATTTCTTGTCTCTCAGTGTGGGCTTAGGTTCTATATGCTGATAATGAGCTCTCTGATCACTCTGTGCCTTGTACCCACACACTCCTGTCCCCAGGCCAGAGTTTCTCTTTGGACATTCCTACTCTTTGTACTTCAAATCCGGAACATCCCAAATCCTGCAGATTCTTCCTTCAAAGTGTTTCTCATATTTATTCCCCAGAATCCTCCTGCCCGCATAGTTCCTTCCTTTCTGTTGCTTGTCCCCACCCACGTGGGACCATTCTTTCACAAACAGAACATTGGCTAGGCTTGAAAGCCCCACAGAAATCTTTCTGTCTCCCTCCACATGAAGTTGAAGCCTCCCTGGACTTCTGTGCTCTTCAGAGCTTGGCTCCATCCCATCCATCTCAACTCACCCCCTTCTTCATCTGCAGGCAGCCCCAAGAGCCCTCCCGTGCTCCTTCCTGCAGCATGCCTTGCTTAGGAACTACCCCACCCTCGGTGCTCTTCCTTGCCTCTAGGACTGGGGTGCTGGGGATAGACAGAGTTGAGCCAGGTTAAGCTGAGGAGGGAGGAGAAAAGGAGAGGACCACATACCAGGACAACAGGGAGAAGATGAAGTAGGGAACAGACACTGTTAACTGTAGCCAACGCCACTGGGGGATGGCATAGGCCAGGCCAGACAGAATGAACTGGCCAGTGGTGTAGCAGTACCCAAATGCTGTCGACGAGATGGCCCGCATCCAGGTGGGCACCCATTCCACATCTGTGGAAAGAGTCCAGGGATCAGATTAGCTCCTGTTAGGGCCCAGGCACCTCCCTGTGAAGGGGTACCAGCTCCTACTTTCCAATAGCTATTTGACCTGCTCCTGATCCTAAGGATTCACCATCCCTACTTTGCAAATGCTGCACCTGAGGTCCAAAGAGGTCAGACTCAAACCATGGTCTGTATACTCCCAGTTCGCACTCTTTTTTATTTTTAKTTTTTAATTTTTTGCAGTGCTGGGAAGTGAATCCAGGGCCTTGCCTAAGGTGGGCAGGTGTTCAGTCACTGGGCTACATCTCCAGCCCCTCTGGGTCACTCTCTTGACYACTGCCTTTCCAGGGACAGGTGGCTTCCCTTGTTTTGCCTCAAGTTTCTTCATCTTTATAATATAAATAACAGCATTACTCACTCCTGCCCATGGGCGAAACGTGACTGTACCTAGTGGAGTGCCAGGCTCAGGGTAAGTCCTCAGATGGATAGCTGCCATTATTATGCCTTAGGGCAGTTATGTTCAGAGCGGGCCTCTGCGGGCCTGAGAGGGGCAGCACCTTGACCAAGATCCCAGGGAGTCCTCTGGTTGAACCAGGCTCAGACCTGCTTTCTCAGCTTTTGGCTGGTGACCCCCACCCCCAAACCCAGTTCCATGGCCCCCTGTGGCTCACTCAAGATGACCGTGCTCAGGACAATGCCTGAGATGCTGAAGCCCGTCAGGAAGCGGAAGACTATGTAGAAGGGGAGGGTGGGGCTGAAGGCTGTGCCTGAGCCGCTGGCTGCCAGCAGTAGGTAGCTGCACGTCAGGATCGGCTTCCGGCCAAACCTGCAGCTCAAAGGAGAGGAAGGGCCAGGTTAGCCACCGTGTGCCTGCCAAGATGAGTGACTCTGCAGGCTTTGGGGCAAAGGGCTGGACCCCTCCTTTGCCTCCCCACTGCGGCTCAAGGACCAGGTAGAACACATAACTCCTTCCCTAGACAAATCCTTGCTGTAATTGCTGTTTTTCAACAAGTTTGAGGTTAAGGTGTTGAGTTAATGAGTTATCTCCTCCAACCCTAACTTAGCTGACTGAGCAGGGGTCAAAAGACCACTTATCTCTAAGTAGTCCATCTGTACTGCCTTTGTGCAATCATGATAATGTGTCCAGAAACTTGGAGGCCTCTGGGTGTGGGGAGGCCCCAAGACTTAAGTTGTAAGGCTCTGGGGCAGACAGGAGGCTGTGGCCTAGAAAGGAATGGAACTTGCCCAAGGCCCCCCAGAGAGGCCCATCTCTCCTATCTCTCCCAGATCTTTTCCTCTTTGAGAGGGCATGGGCCGAACAGAGTGGGGAGAGGCTGCTCCCCCCACCCCCACCGTGGGCTGTGCCCAGCTCTCACCTGTCAGACAGTTCTCCAAGCACGAGCCCTCCAATCAGGATGCCTGCCATGAAGATAGACTGGGCCATCTCCTTCAGTTTCCCGGAGCTGCACACCAGATTCCACTGCACGGGAACGAGGCAGGGCCAGGCTAGCTCAGCGCAGACCTGCCTCTGACCCACGCTCCCACTCCCACCACCGTGGCTTGGCTTCCCCGAACCTGGCTCCTACCTCCCAAGCACCAATTCCTCTTTCCACCTGGCTGGGAGGCTTATTGGGTCTGCCTGGGCTTGGGGGTCCCTGATCCATGATTGTGTCATGACAACATCTCTCAAGCATGTGTGGCGTGTCACATGGCTTCGAGTCTTCTCAGCTGCTCCATCCAGATCTGTCCCAGCCTCCTGCCTCCTTCCCTCCAAGCTTGCCCATGTCCCTGTGACTATTTGCCTCTTCCCCTCCCCACTGACACCCAAGGCCAGTCCCACTGCCTGGACCCTTGGCCTCACCCTCTCTCCTCCATAGGTCGTGTGCCGTAGCCTCACCACTTCCCTCCATCCCCCTTCCTCAGTCTCCCTGTCTCCTACTCCTCCCCAACATTCGTGTGTCTTCAAATCTCTGCAATTTAAAGCCTCTTTCCTTTCCACATCCACTTTATTTCTCTTCTCCCTTGCATCTCCCTGTTCTTATCTCTACTTGGTTCTCAATTCTGTCCCCACCAGCCCCTGAAGCTGCACTCCCCAAAGCCCCTGTGATTCCCTTTTCACTAACAAAATGGGATCTTCTGTATCTTGAACTGGCTTGGCCTTCGGCACCATGGGCACTGCTGACCTCTCCCTCYGCCCCCCACCCCCCTGCTCTTCACCAGTCCTCCTTTCCCTCCCCAGCACCTTTTTCTCTTCCCAGCCCTTACAGCCCTCCCAGGGCACCTCCTGGATCCTCTTCTCTGTCCGCTTTCCCCACATATGCTCTCTGTTCCGATGGCTTCCATTTTTATTTACACAGAAGATCCCAAATCCGTCTTTGCAGCCCAACCTCTCTTCCGGCCTCCAGACCAGGAGATTCTGCTGCCTACTTGAAAACACCCCAGGACCATGTCACACCCACATCTCAGACTCGGGGGGACTTGTGCATGTGAGGCAAGAACTCTTAACAACTGAGCTACATCCCCAGCCCAGTTGACTTTTTTTTAATGTGATGAGATATTTGAAATTTCATCTTAGTTATTTTGAACTATACAGAGTGTTATTATTGGCTGTTGTCACCCTGCTGTGCAATAGATCTTAAAACCTACTCTCTGTCCAGCTGAAACTTGGTGCTGTCTGTATCTCTCGACCAATAACCCCATCTACTCACTCCCTCCACCTCCCCCAAGGCCTTTGACCACCATCACTCTAGTCTCACTTCTAGCAATTTAACTTTCTTTCTTTTTTTTTTTTTTTAAATACTGGGATTGAACTACATCCCTAGTCCTTTTAATTTTTTCTTTCTTTCTTTTTGAGACAGGGTCTTACTAATTTGCCTAGCTGGCCTCGAACTTGCTATCCTCCTGCTTCAGCCTCCCAAGTAGATGGAGTTATAAGAATGCACCACCAAATCTGGCTAGGAATTCAACTTTCTTTAGATTTCACATATAAGGGAAATGATGATGGTAACCCTCTCTCAACTCCACCTCCTCTCTCCCAACCCCAYAATTGTCTGACTCTCAAGTTTCTTATTTTAAAAATAATATATTTCCTGAATCTGGATTCTTCTCTTTCTACTACAGCTGCCTTAGTGTGGGGCTCACCTTCTTTCCTTGGATTAATAATGACAGCTGATGCTTACTGAGGGCTCACTAGGTACCTTATTATGTAGGAGCTAATATCATCCCTATTTTATAGACAAGAAGACTGAGGCCCAGAGAGAATTACTGTGCCACCTTCTCGCCTCTCCTTTATTCTCATCCCCACTTTTCCATTCCTTCTCTGAGAACCTGAGTGGCTTTCTACAACACCAGTTCCAACCAGGTTTCTGTCTTGCCAGAACCACTTGCTGGCTTCCTCTTGCCCTTTGAGTAAAGCTCTATTGGCAGGTTTCTAAGCCCTAGCCTACCTGTCTGCTCTAATCTCCTGCTAATCCCCAACACACACCCTTTGCCCCAGCCATCCTGAATTATTTGTATAATGAAGTGGAGAATTTTATTCATTAGCAATGCCTCCCTAGAATGTTTTGGAAATAGAATAGTGTGGGGGAGAACCACATATCCCAGGGAACTCTTGTCTACTTTCCTCTGCTGGAAGTGAGGGAGGATGGGGCTGGATGAAGATTCCAGGTCTTTCAGCTGTCCCAGAGTGGCCCAGCATGGCCAGCAAGCCTGGTGTCCCTTCTAACAGAGAAGGAGTCTGATGGTGTGTGTGTTGTGTGTGTGGGGGAAGGTAAATCAGGAAGTGAGGGTGCATGGGAAGGAGCAGGCCCGTGGATGTCTAGACAGACAGTAATTTGTGGCATGTGCTGTATAAAACCCTTTTAGGAAAATCTAGAGGAAAGGCTTACTATCCACATAAGTTCATCCATCCCTTCTTCCATAGTATATAGCACATTTCCCAGGTGACCCTGTAGCTGCATGTGGTACTTGATAATGACATGTGAGTGGAAGGTACATGTTTCTTCTACCTCATTCACTTAACAGGAATCCCTGGCATGGACTTCTATGCTTTCTCTCCTTGACAACAACTGGAACAACTTTGGGAGTGTGGAGTTGAAAATGTCAGAACTGCTGTTAGTCCGGGTTCCTAAATGACCCTYCAGAGCATACCCACCATCATCAGCCTGAAATACAACTCTTAACACGAGAAAAAGAGAAGTGCTTCTGTATTTTTTTAAGCCATGAATTGTCATTGACGCTTTTGTAATAGCAGCACAGCCTTTCCTCATACAGCCCACAAGAAGTTGCAAATGAAAATTAGATTTTTATCTAACCTTGACAGTATTTAGTGTCTTAAGAAATCGAGGGTCTGTTTGGATCATGAGAGGGTCAATGTCAGATCTGCTTGTGTTAGTTTGAGGCTGCCACCTGCTCCACTGTCTGAGACCATATCTGCTGGGTCTAGGCTTCTACTATGGGACTTGTGATCTTGTGGGCTTTAGAATAATTGTCATGAGCTAGTTTCTACCAGAACATTGAGAAATTTACAAGAAATATTATTCCAGAATGAACTCGGAGTCATGTTTGGAACAGGTTAGAAACCTGAAAGGCCTACGGGGCCCTGTGAGATCTGCTCCCACCACAGCCCTGTTGTCTCTCTGCTCTCATCTCCTACTTCCTGCTCCCTTTCAGACTCTGCTCTGGATGAATTGGTCACCTCGCTGTCCCATACACCTGTCAGCCGTGCTCCTGCTTCCAGGACTTGGCATACGTCTTTCTCTTTACCTGGAATGCTCTTTCCTTGGAKCTTGGCTTCCTCCAACACCTCCTTCAGATCTAAGCTCAAATGTTATCTCCTCAATGAGACCTTCCTTTACCCTCCTATTTAAAATTATCCCCCCCTCCAAAAACTCTTTCTCTCTACCTAACTTCATTTTCTCTATGGTTTTGATACCATCAGGCATACTGCCTCTCTTTCTTTGTTTTAAAAATTTATTGTCTATTTCTTCCCCAAGAAGTCAGCTTGATGAGGGGAAGACTTTTAGTCTGTTTAGTTCACTACTGTACTTTAATTGCCTGGAACAGTGCCTGACACATAGTGGACCCTCAATAAATACTTGTAGAATGGAACAAGTGAAAATTCCACAGAAAGAACAGAGGGATGATGAGAGGTTTGCTGAGGTCTRAAGAARGGGTCATATGGTCTACACTCCACTTTCCACGAGAACTGACCAACATTGCCAGAATGAGTACATACCGGGATGGATTATATCTAGTACAAATTACACAGCCACATGGCAGTGAGGAGAGAAGGGTTCTTTCACAATCAGACTGGAAAAACTTCTATGGAAAAATTGTGTACTGGAGGGTTATCACTCTTTGGTGAAATCTTGAAGCTAAGGAGGAGGAGTGCTGCATAGTTAAAGATTAAAAAATCTGGACTTCAATGCACTCTAAATTGCTCCCGGAGATTTCCAGAGATTTCATGGTTAATGAAGCTCATCAGAACTGATAGAAAGAAAAATGTGGTTATGGCTTCCMTGTAGAGCTGCACAGACCCTGGGGCTCAGATCTGAGATGTGAAACTGTTGTGGGTTGAATCATGTCCCTCCRAAAGACACATTGAAGTTCTACYCTCTATTGCTTCAGAATGGGACCTCATCTGCAAAGAGGGTTGCAGAATATAATCAGCTGAGTTAAAGTGGGGTCATACTGGAGTAGGTTGTGCCCTTAGTCTGCCATGACTAGTGTCCTTTTAAGAGGAGAAGAGACACACAGGAGAATGTTAGGAGGGAGGTAGAGGTGGGCATGATGCATCTAGAAGGTGAGGAATGCCAAGGATCACCAGCAGCCACCTGAAACCAGCAGAGGCAAGGAAGCAGACTTCCTTTGAGTCTTTATAGAAAGCACAGCTGCACCTTGATTTGAACTTCTAGTCTCCAGATCTGTGAGACAATGTGATTTCTGTTGTTTTAAGCCCCCAATTGGTAGTACTTTGTTCTGACAGCCCGAGGAAACRAGGATGCTGCCTGATTCCTGCATGTCTGAAGTATCTGCCAGCCTGATAGGCACTAATGGGGAAGGGGTTAGGAATAGAAGAGCATCGTAATGAGGGAACCAGATACAGAGCGAGTGGAAAAGGTTTTTAAAGACATCCTGGGATGTGGGGGAGAGGAAGATATTTAGAGAGACTTTTGGCATGCTTTCTGTGTAGTTAGCTGTGCAAAGCCCCTCAGAAGGCCCTGTTAAGAAAACCTGAGGCAGAAAATTCGATTAAAGACAGTGATTTGTATTTCCTTTGACTGTGACTCCATGCATGGCTGGTGGAGTCCTTGGATTTAATCAGGTCACACTGTGATTCAACAAAAGCTCCAATGCCAATGGGTTCCCCTTTGCTTTTACACTTGCTACAATCCCCTTACTCTGGTCATGTTGCCAATCCTTTGAAATTCACRTCAAGATCATCCTTTCTGAGTGCCAGGAACTTCTTTTCTGGATGTC